AAACTTAAAAACAAAAAACTGAAAGTCTGGTTAAAATCGACCTGCAAGGACACCATTGGGTGAAACACTCCTTTAATCAGTGGCATCAGTGAGGAGGAGGAGGGTGAGTGTGGGGGGGCGCGGGCTGCTCTACCTGAGCCTGTGGCGCCACCTGCTGCTGGGAGGGGGGAAGCTGCTGCTGCTGCAGCCGGGAGGGAGGGAGAGTCGTCAGCGTCTTCAGCTTCTTGGCTTCGGCTTTCGGCGGGACGTCCTCGTCTTCGTCCGAGTCCTGCAGGCCGTACTTGGAGAAGTGCGCCACCTGAGGAATAAAGAGGGAGGAGTCAGATACACCTGAGAACCACACAAACAGAAGTGACTCATTATTTTTATCTAAGTGTTGTGGATCTGAAGCCGCTGAAAACATTCAAACATCAACGATCGTAAACGAGGACTGTGCTGATGTTCATCAGATCAACACTCCACAGCGGCGGGCAGCGAGCGTGCTCCAACAAACTGACCTCGAACACCCAGGACCCGGTCTCAGGTCGGTACTCCAGGAAGCGAGCTCCCTGCTTGCGCGACGCCTTCTCCAGCCGGCCCTCGTAGTTCATGTCGCTCAGACGCTCGGGGCTCCTGATCTGGGTGCAGGCCGTCTTGTCGTTCGGCCAAACGCCGTCCAGAGTCACCTCCGCTCGCCTGCGAAAACACAGATCCACATCAGGACAGGAAGCGGAGGTAGAACGCCACAGGTTGGTTAACCCTCTGAGGTCGAGGGTATAATCACACGTTTTTGACTACTTTTGATTTTACCTTTAAAAACTGTTCGCTTCCCTTGGTATCATTTTTCATTTTAACACCAAGTCAGACAAAAACATAAAATCCAAGTAGGAAAAAGTAAGATTTACTCCAACAACCACAAACATGTTTAACAAACCAGTTTCATGGTTTCGACTTGAAATGCAAACAAATTTTAAAAACTGACGCAAACGTTTTGCAAACAAGTTACATAGATCCATTCATCTAAAAATGCAGCTAAAGTGTTTTTAACCATTTAAACCTGTTTATAGAACAGTTCAGTGTTCTGCCACACATGATTTGTGCCACTCCATAAAACTGTCACAGGACAGAAGAGCACATCACTTCCTGTTTCCCACCTGGAGGCAGTGTTTACATCATACTCTGCCTTCGGTGGCAGAACGGTGACATTCAGCAGTCGCCTCAGTGTGTAGAGCTGCC